GCAGGAGAGGGAGAAGGCAGGAGAGGGAGAAAGCAGGAGAGGGAGAAGGCAGGAGAGGGAGGAAGCAGGAGAGGGAGAAAGCAGGAGAGGAGAAACCAGGCTGACACAAGCTGTAGAAGAACCACCTCCCCTGGTCCATCCCTGCAGCCACAGAGGGGGGATGATCCCGAACAGGCACAGGAGGGAGGTGAGCCAGGGAGGGAACAACCCCTGTCCCGAGACTCTCTGGTGTCTCTCACCCGGCGCTTCCCTCGGGCTGTGACTTCCTGTGGTGGGGGAAAAATAAAAAGTGTTTTTCCCCTGGAGTTAAAAAAAAAAAAGTAGTAACCCCCGGGGGGGAAGGTGTTTCTTGGGGTTGACCCAACCAGCGCCCCTGTGACGCCAATTTTATGCCCCCAAGAAGGCACGAATGGAGAAGCTGCTCAGAGACAAAGTTTGCAGCCCTTAAGCAGGAGGTATTTTATCCTCGGCGTGCTGGGAAGCGTCCAGGTCGCCCTGGGAACCGCTTCGGTCCAGCAATCCACAGCTGGCCTTTTTACACCATTTTTGGCAAGTGATTGCACAATACAATGTGAATATTCATGATATTGCAACGTGCATTTTTAATATTCATAACGGGTGGAGTCTAGTGTTGCCGTGGGATTTAGGTGCTGAAAAAAATCTCGGGAGCAGTTAATTAGGGGTGAGATAAGAAAGGGTTTATTTGCCAAGGTTAAGATGTTACAAGACGCGCCCCCTGTGCCCGAGAGGTCACATTTTATAACCCCATCCATCCAATCCCAGATGTGTCCACCCTGTGGCCTTTGCTCTGGACCGCCCCGGGGTCCACCCCCTCAAAATGGGTCTGGGGTGCATTTTGGGACCACCTACTTCATCATCTTCATCATCCTCGGAGCACAAAGGGTACATAGTTACCTAATTCCTGACCTATTCTGTGGTTTAGGCCCAGATATGCTGTTCTGTCAACTGTCTGGGCCTTGCCTTGACAAAAGACTAAACATTCCTATTGGATTCAGGAGTAGGGCTGATATGGGGAGCATAGAATGGGGTCAGAGGGTTAAGGAATGTGTAAACAAGGGTGCTGGAGGGAAAAGGAAAGGAACAAGGGACAAAGAAGGGAGGGTTTCTGCTTTTCAAACCTACTTATAAAACTTGCAAGTCTTACAAATACTAAAAAATAAAAAACCATTAGGGGCTTCTTAGTGGTGCAGTAATTTTTACTACAGCACTCAACTGTGCCAAGGCAAAAATCTCAGAAATGCAGTAGAAATTGTTCACACAATTTCTGCCTTACAACAATCTGCCTTCCTAAGGAAGCCTGTGAACGGTCTAGAAACTGGGGGTGTGGCTCAGCGGAGCCGGGTATAACCTTGGGAAAGGAGGAATTGGAGTCTTTGTGCTCGGGAGTCTCCGTCCTGTCCAGGTTTTGCCATCCCCTCGTGTATTTCTCGGGGGTGTCGACTGAAACAGAGCAAGGCCTGAAGAGTTACCTCAGGATGCACGCTCTGAGCAAAGAAATAAAGAATCAAGACTCAAGGACTAACAGAAGATAACACTTTACCAAAGAATGCTGACACACTGACACAAAAGAACACAAAGTAAGAGCACAGGGAAATAAAGAACACCAGAAATGCTAACACACACACATAAATAGACATAAGGAAGGAACACAGAGAGATAAGGGGAAAGAGAAGGGTCAGAGTCCAGAAACTCCTGCCAAATACATGTTGGAGGCAGCAGAATTAAGGAAAGTTCAAAAGTTTACCTGAGGGAGGAGAGCAAAAAGACAACCCCTGAGGCTGAAGTAACAGGAGGTACCACTGAGATTCTCCCCAAAAATGATGACCCCGCCCCTGACTCCGCCCTAACTCCGCCTGCTATGAATATTATAACTAGATGTTGCAATAATGTGGATATGCATGTAAAAATGATGTAATCTCTCGCAAAAATTGTATAAATAGTCTAACTAACCCAGATCAAGTGTTGTGTGGTGGGAACCACCTTGCTCTCCAACGTTGTCTAAATAAATACCTTGCTGCTTAAAGACCAAATTCTGCCTCTGAGCAGTTCCATTGCGACTTTTTGGGCATCCCTACTTGGGACTTGGGTGTTGAACATGTCCCCTCCCCCCTGCAAAGTGGGTGTAGGTCATCTCCACTTGTGAATTGGTTGGTTTGTTTTCATAAGCCTTACAGCTCTCTCCAGAGCCCGTGAGCCAAACCTGTGTGGTTGTTAACACCATTTTCGGCAGCGCCTTCCAGCCGTGGGATGTGAACACACACAGGGTCTCCAGGGAGGAAAACGTGTGGGGCAAGGAAACACCACTCTGCTTAACTGTCTGCCTCAGCTCCTGAATCACGTCAGATGACAAGGTTTGGTGCTGAGGGCCTTGCCGGGGCCGATAAATCACAGGGCACGTGTTCACTGCTTTCCAGTCGCCCACGTGTGACGCTTCTTCCCCGGTACCTGTCCCACACGCCCACGGAAGCACCACCACACGACCACATAATGGATTCCCCTTCTGCATCCTCTAGAGACTTGCTGCTGTGATGGTTTCAGTCTGGGCCTTCCTGGAGATCAGCTTGTAACCAGGAAGTGAATCCGAAAAATCGGGTATAATGAACAGCCCAGAGGCTTTTGAGCAGTAAAGGTATTTATTGACAGCGCTGGGAGCAAGCCGGCTATTGCTGGACAAACTTGCTCGAAGGCTTCACACAGAATCAGCAGTTTTTATACAATTTTCACCTGTGATTAAATGCATATTCAAGTGATTACAACGTTTATCAATGCATATTAATAACAGGTGGAGTATGGGTGGAGCTCAAGCAGGGCTTGGGGCGGTGCTTCTCTTGGCCCTCAGTCTCGAGGGTAGTTCTGTCCTTCTTCCATGGGTCTGGGGGCTTAAACTCATCTTCCTCAGCTTGACCTCTCTTCTTTTCCATTGTTCTTGACCCATTCACTGAAGCTTAGAAAAAACCCTGGCTTCTGGCCTATTTCTTCTATTCAAATGTCTACCTAATCCTACTGCATCTTAATTTATTACCTCTGGGCCTGTTCTATGATTCTTTTACCATTCTCTTAAGTTTTGGTCCAGTAAGTAGAACAGAACAAGCACAGATCGTTTGGGATGTTGGTAGCTCGTTAGCAAGCCCAAATTTCTTAGTTAACTCTTTTGGGCCTGGCCTCATGTTTCAGGAGGAACGAGGGAAGTGACCAAGGAAGTGTTCTCTGCTATTCCTTTACACAACCTGAGGTATAAATCCAGCTGGTCAGAAAGACCTCGCCCTCTCTTCTCCCGGCGAGGTTTGGGAACGGCAGGTTCCTGTCTCGGTCTTGCTGATCTGGAGCTGAGGCTGCAGCGACTGTTGGTGTCTGCCACGAGTGAGGGGACAGCGCTGGGCCGGGTCTGGTTGTCCTGCTTTTCTCAAGGGAAGTGGTGACATTTTGCCAGTTCTTTATTCTGCTGGTTACTGGGTTTTTCGACTGTGCAGACCTGTTTCGTTTTTCTCCCTTTTTTCCCTTTTTCCCTCTTCCCCTTTTGGGAGTGATTTGGGGTTCCTGTGTTCGTATGTACATAACACCTTAACTGTATATCTGTAACATACATAAAATACATATATTTTACATAGTTTTTACTCTTCCATTTTTTTCTTCTCTCTCTCTTTTTGGAGCTTTTCTCCTGTAGTCCGTGGGGTTTGGCGGGAAGCCAACTACAACCGGCTCCAGCTGTCTGTTTGCTCATCATATTCATCCCCCACCCCATCCAGAGAAATGCCGGAAAGCGGCGGCAGCAAAGTGAAGGTTTCACCTCCGTTCTGTGGCGGGAGCAACGTGGCAGAGCCCCTGTGACCACGTGTTTGCCGCGGGTCGGTTGCGCAACTGATGCCGAAATTTTGCCCCAAAAGGCACAGAGAAACTGCTCAGAGTTTTTAGACTATAAGCAGGAGGTATTTACTCAAAGCAAGCAGTGAACAGCTGGAGTATTTATACAATTTTTGCTAAAAGGTTACATCACTTTTCATGAATATTCACAATATTGCAACATCTAGTTATAATACTCATAACAGGCGGAGTTGAGGCGGAGTCAGGGGCACAGTCTTCATTTTGGGGAGGTTTTCCGGGGTACATCCTGTTACTTCGGCCTCAACGGTCCCGAATCTACTCCTCTTACTCAGGTGAACTTCTGAACTCCCCTTAATTTGACTGACTCTCACATGTATCTGGCAGGAGTTTCTGATATTTGGCAAGACTGCCTAGTCCTTGGCTCTTCTCCTTTCCCTCTCTGTTTCCCCTCCATATATCTATTTTATGTGTATGGCAGCATTTTTGTTCTCTCTGCTTTCCTGTGTACTTCTACTTTATGTTCTTTGTGTCAATGTGTTTAGCATTCTTTAATCTCCGTTGTTCCTGAGACTTAGTTCTCTGTGCTTTTGCTCAGAGCATGCACTCTAAATTAACTCTCTAATACTCATTTTGCTATACTACATTAGCTCTGCTCTGCTTTACAAAGTGGATGTACCTGCACTTAAAGATAAAAATAAGATGGAAAAAATTGTTTTAAGCTAACACCATTTATAGAATATATACCTGTATATATTTAACAATAGTAGTATGTTATTAAAAGGTTTGAAAGAAGTGTGTAAACTTAAAAAATGGGTGTAATAGTATAAAAAGTAGATCCCTGTGTGCCTCCTTTTCTGTACTTCAGAAATCGTTGCGCTGAGTGTGATAAAAGCACGTTAATGTAAACATTGGATGCCTTTTCTGCCATTTATCTGGGGATGACGAGGACGAAGAATAAAGCCTCAAAATGCAGTCAAATTGCCTTTCTTAACAACTAAAAGACAGCCAAAAAAGTGTAAAACTGCATTAGACAGATTTTAGGCGCTGGCAGATAAGAGGCCTTCGCTCTCTTCTCTCTCCCGGTGGCCGAAGGCGACAGGTCTCTCTCTGCAGATGGTCTTTGCTCGTCTAGGCCAGGGCCTGCTGCTCCCACCTGCCGTCATCGCCCTTCCGTTCGGGAGGTGTGGGGAGTTAGTTCTGCTGTTCTTCTTGTTCAGGGAAGTATTTAATTGGGGGTTGTTTTGTATTTATTCGTGTGCTGGTTTAAACGTTAACCAGCAGGGGAAAATGAACTCAAAAGAGAGACCACAAGTCAGAATAACAATTTATTAAAACAACACAACAAGTATGATTATACAGACAAACAACCAGGTTCAATCCACAAAAACCCAAATGTACAACCCAGCACCCTGGGATATGAACAAGCAGGGTTCCCCGGGCCCCCCCTGAGTCCAAAGTAAAGGGGGGAATTGGAAAAAAAACCTGCTGGTGGGAGAGCTATTGCAGTCCAGTTGAGGGTGGTGGTCTCAGTCTGGTTGAGAGCGGTGAGCTGCAGTCTTCCTCTGGATCCCACGAGTGGTGGCAAGGTTCTGAAACTCCAGGTTT